ATGTTACTGATAAACCAATCACTGAGCAGCATTCTGACTCCACACCCTCTTTGACTTGGTAATCCAGTCTATGACCTGAAACAACAGTTAACCCTTATGAAGCAGCGTCCTCACCATGTCCAGCTTCCCGTCGTGTGCGGTGAGTGAGGACATGCCGTAGGACGCCAGAGTACAGGCGGCCAGCGAGTAGTAGGTGTTCATGGCGGTGCGGTGCTGGTCGTCTCCATGAGCGGTGATGGCAGAGTTAAAGCTGGGCCAGAACATCCACAGGTAGATGGTACCTGATGAGGAGAACAGCAAGAACAGCATTTCATTGGTTTAGAGCGGCAGGAGAGGTTCAAGCTGCAGAAGCAGTTTGAGGACTGAGGGTTACCGATCATAGCGAAAAGGTCCGAATGGTAGACTGAGGAGTTCCTGCTTTTGCTCTTGTCCAAGTTGGGTCTGTACAGGACTCGAGTCACCATGAGGCCGAAGTAAGCTCCAAAGGTGTGGATGGTCATGGAGCCTCCAGCGTCCTTTACCTGAAGCACAGTCCAGCTGCAGTCAGAGCTCTCTTCAGTTTCAGACATTAAGACAACACCATGAAGATCTACAGCCTCTTACCCCCAGAATGGTCAGCAGGACATACTCATTGACAGCAAACAGCGTGACCTCGAACATCGCCATGATCAGCAGCTGCACAGGACTGGTTTTACCCAGAACGGCTCCGAACGAGATGAGCACAGAACCCGTGCAGAAGTCAGCATTGATCATACTGCGAGATGGAGATAAACATCACTACAGCAGCCAGAGCCAAGTGATGCACAAGTTTAGATGACCTATCACACAAATACTGTTTGTTTATCAAACGCCTTCCAAAGACAAATAAGAGCTAACAAACAGGAAGTAAACAACGTCAGTAAGAGCCAACAAACAGGAAGTAAACAACGTCAGTAAGAGCCAACATACAGGAAGTAAACAACATCAGTGAGAGCCAACAAACAGGAAGTAAACAACATCAGTAAGAGCCAACAAACAGGAAGTAAACAACGTCAGTGAGAGCCAACAAACAGGAAGTAAACGACAACAGTGAGAGCCAACAAACAGGAAGTAAACAACGTCAGTAAGAGCCAACAAACAGGAAGTAAACAACATCCGTAAGAGCCAACATACAGGAAGTAAACAACGTCAGTGAGAGCCAACAAACAGGAAGTAAACAACATCCGTAAGAGCCAACATACAGGAAGTAAACAACATCAGTGAGAGCCAACAAACAGGAAGTAAACAATGTCAGGAAGAGCAAACAAACAGGAAGTAAACAACGTCAGTAAGAGCCAACAAACAGGAAGTAAACAACGTCAGTAAGAGCCAACAAACAGGAAATAAACAATGACAGTAAGATCCAACAAACAGGAAGTAAACAACGTCAGTAAGAGCCAACAAACAGGAAGTAAACAACGTCAGTGAGAGCCAACAAACAGGAAGTAAACAACGTCAGTAAGAGAAAGGAATAGTTTTTACTATTCCTTTGTGGAAAGGAATAGTTTTTACAAACAGGAAGTAAACAACGTCAGTAAGAGCCAACAAACAGGAAATAAACAATGTCAGTAAGAGCCAACAAACAGGAAATAAACAACGTCAGTAAGAGCCAACAAACAGGAAATAAACAACGTCAGTAAGAGCCAACAAACAGGAAGTAAACAACGTCAGTAAGCGCCAACAAACAGGAAGTAAACAACATCTGTAAGAGCCAACAAACAGGAAGTAAACATCAGTAAAAGCAACACTTCTGAATGAGAAGTTTCGGAGGACGTAGAGTTCAAAAGGATTTGTGGAAAGGAATACTCAAATGTTTATTCTGTGTTTGGTAAAAAAAGATCATCCATCATGTGGCCAGGGCCGTCTCCAGGATTTATCTGGGCCCCAGGAACAGGTCTCCACACTATGAGAGAGTCCTGAAGCTTTAAAGAAACTACAGGGCAGTCGTGTTGAAACCAGGGCTGAGTTAGAGAAGACTCAGGTCTGGATGAGGACTATAAGGCTTGCCTATAGGAATGTGTTGTTCTTTTGAACACGCCCACAGTCTGTGATAGGAGCAGTATGGTCTTGATTGTGTTGTTTTTCCCTTTTGTTCACTGAGCTGCTGTTGAGGGAAGCTCTGAGTCAAGTTTTGAACGAGATTATTTGTTTTTGTAAATGTGTGTTTGTGGATCTTCCAACAAGCCTCAAAGTTCAGAGTTAATAATCAACAGGTAGCTTTCAGACTTTGTGTTTTCAGACTGTTTTTGAGATGTGTGTGTGTGTTTGTACATGTACAGTGTGTTCATCACATACCTCTCCACTCCGATGTGGATCTTGCCGTGATGCATCCCATGGAAGAAGCCCTGCATCAGCGTTGCCCACTGCAGGGCGAAGGCTGCGATCAGGAAGTTGAAGCCCACGCTGCTGAAGCCGTACCTCTGCAGGAACGTCATGAGGAAGCCAAAACCGATGAAGATCATCACGTGCACATCCTGGAAACCTGCACGACGGAGAAAACACCAGCTGAGAACAAATGGAGATGCTCAGCAGCCTGGAGGAACGATGCTTTATGTCAAATGTGAACTTTAGTGTTTGTTTTCTATTAAGGGGAATAAATATTGACTGATCTCTATCTCTATATCTATCAGAAGAGAAGTGAACCACAGCTGGCTTCTGAGGTGCATTTATAAGGGGTCCCTGAAGGCGTTTAGAAGGGGTCCCTGAAGGCCTGGTTTCTTCTGATTATATTTCTGATTATTGAAGATAGAAGATGTTCATGGACTCGAGTGAGGAGAACTCTTCTTCAGATCGACCTCTCAGGAGCTCTTCCACACCAGATACATAAACTGTAGATTCTCATGGTGACATTAATATAGAGGAAGACGTTACTTTACATATCTATGTCATCACTAAGAAGTGGTGTTCTAAGAGTTAACTCTGAAAGTGAGGATAAAGAACTCTGGGACCTCCCACCCTCACCGTCCTGGTTCACACACTTTGTGAGCGCTCTCTCTAACTATCCTCATTTGTCCCAAACACACAATATTGCACTGTGCTGTGGCAGCCGTCTCCATGGTAACTGTCAATTGGCATGGCCCAGCGGAGGTGTCGCCAGTGTCCCCGATGGCATTTTGGCCCAGATACACGCACCGACATCCAAGGAGGAAACCGTCCAATCAGAGCAAAGAAAGAATCTGCTGAGAGGAATTAGTGTCTCACTGTCATGGAGGTCTGCTCGGCTCTGATCATGTTTTCTGCTGATGTTTCATCATTTAGGACCCAGACATTCAAACACCACACATGCTGAAACACGATGATGGAAAGACGGGGATGTTCCACTTAATGATTTCATTCGTGTTGGCCAAAGTCTTTATTCTGATGAGGACCACCAGGGGGTCTTTAAATCCTCCGTTATAACCCAGGATTTCTGAGTTGGCTCTCTTTAAAGGGAAAGTTTTACTCACAAAATAAGAGGTCGAGGTTTAGAGTGTTTAACCTCTGCACGTCTGGATAACCAGTCTGAGAGAGAAGTCGGAGGTCAGACAGCAAACAGAGTCAGACTGAAATCAAATGTTTAAATCTGCATCCAGAAGAAGAAGTGCTCCTGTTTCAGAGTATCATCAGTCTGCTCTCTGCAGAATCACCATGACTCACCTTTACACTGAAACTACACGGAGAGATCGACGTACGACCAACTGAGCAGAAAGAGAGGACACAGATACTAAGGAGACGGGGGGGAGGGAAACAGGTGACGGCGGTCAAAAAGGGAGGGAAACACACAAAGGGAGGAAGTAACACAAGACATGATACACAGGGGAAAGACCTTCAAAATAAAACAGGAAACTTAAAGAACAAAGAAGAAGAATAAAATACAGATTCACTCAGGCTTAAAGAAACACCAGGGACGATTGACCAAACAAGACAGGAAGAGAGAACTAGAGTAAACCATGACAGGGAGGAGTAGGTTCCCCATCATCAAGAGGTCAAAGGTCACATCACTACATATCAGCTCAAAGGTTCATCCCTTGGTCCAATCACAATCCAACACCATTCTACCAAACATCATGAAAATCTAGTCCACAGTTTGACTGAATTTAGATCAAAGAGGTGGAGCTGAGGGCGGGGTTTAACCCTCCCGACCAACAGCTACAACACACACACACATCAGTCAAAGAGGCCACGCCCCTAATTTTTAATAACTTAGCTAAATCATAACAGGTGAGTTATATTCACCCCCCGTAGAGTGTGTGCAGACAAAGACATGAATCAGACCTCAAACACTTTATGAACAGGATGTTGATGACTGGACATTTTAAAATGAGGTGTGTATGGGACCTCTGGATCTTTTGGAGCAAGCCTCAAGTGGACACTCGAGGAACTGCAGTTCTTGCAATTCCTTATTGTCCTTTTTTTTTCAGCACTGGGAGTTTCTGTTTGATCCAGATCCACTCACAGACCTTTAGTCTCCTCCTGGTCTCATGATGTTTTCCTGTGATCCTGCAGAACTACAAACTAATGACAGAGCATTTTCATGAGTGGGATTATCCACTGTGACTGTTAGTGAATCATTTCCAGATCTACACCAACATCTAACAGAGTCCTCAGAGCTTTACTCTGAATCAAATGTCATGATCATGAGGTCTTTACTGGAACGCTGCAAAGACCAAACATCCCCACTGTCACTCACTCGCTCTGTTACTGCTCATCTGTGAGTTGGGGAAGTTAAAGAGCCCATATTCTGCCCTTTTTGGGGTTCGTATATTTAATCTATGTATCTACTTTTGTACATTCAATAGCTAATTTCCGAAAAAAGTGTCCATTTTCATGTACTGCTCCTCCTTGCTCCTCTACGCTCTGAGTCCGTCAGCTGCACTCTGTTGAGCCCCACTGTTAGACACCACGTGTGCCAAGTCTGCTCTGATTGGTCTGCTGATCCGCTCTGTCTTTATTGGTCAGTTGCTCAGCACGCGTCTCGGAAATTTCCACATGAGCTGCAGGGCTTGCACAACGAGCCAATGGACTTAGATCAGTGATCTCACACTGACAACGACGTCGGACTGACAAATTTCTATCGAGGGGGGCTAGAACCGAGCGTTACATGCAGCTAATGCTACAGCTAACAGGAGGACGTAGGAGAAGCCGCGTTTCCGCGGACTTTGAATTTTTGCACATAGATGTGCCTAAACATGCACAGGACACTTGGAAAACACACTAAAGAGCATATAAAACCAGAAAAAGCATAATATGGGACATTTAATGCTCAAATTGAAATGGCTTCTTTATTTGTGCTTCTTTTAATAATCCTGCACTTCTCTGAGAACCAGTCAGGTGAGTGCTTCTGCTCCAGGGTAACAACCTGAGAGCTCTCAGACACCCACAGCCAAGTTTTTCACCTGCAGGGGAACTGCTGCCTGTGCAGGTCGCCGCATACCACCCTTATCTCACAGGAACATACAGGGCAGACAAAACATGGACTGCAGGACCACCAACACACAACAGATTAACAGGCTGCACATGATCCTGCTTTAGACAAGAACACAGCTCAGGTGTGTCTTTACCTGTTCTATAAGCGACCTGTAGAGACGACACAGAGCTCAGGTGTGTGTGTGTCTCTATAGACGACCTGTAGAGACGACACAGAGCTCAGGTGTGTGTGTGTCTCTACAGACGACCTGTAGAGCAGGAAACTGTTTCTTGTGCAGGCTCGTCCATGCGTGCAGTCAGTATGAAGGTGGAAGTTGTTTACAGTCTAACTTGAAGGTAAACTATGTTTCAGCTAAGGTGTCAGGTTAAAGATTATTGGAGCCATTAAATCTAATGAAACACACTCTCTAATATTTTAACCTCACAGTCTGGGTGAAAAGTTCTGCTTGGATAAAGACACCCTCCTGCTACGTCTCACCTCCCAGTGTTCCTGATGTCTCACCTCCCAGTGTTTCTGATGTCTCACCTCCCAGTGTTCCTGATGTCTCACCTCCCAGTGTTCCCAGTGTTCCTAACGTCTCACCTCCCAGTGTTCCCAGTGTTCCTGATGTCTCACCTCCCAGTGTTCCCAGTGTTCCTGATGTCTCACCTCCCAGTGTTTCTGATGTCTCACCTCCCAGTGTTCCTGATGTCTCACCTCCCAGTGTTCCCAGTGTTCCTAACGTCTCACCTCCCAGTGTTCCCAGTGTTCCTGATGTCTCACCTCCCAGTGTTCCTGCTGTCTCACCTCCCAGTGTTCCTGATGTCTCACCTCCCAGTGTTCCCAGTGTTCCTGACGTCTCACCTCCCAGTGTCCTGATGTCTCACTCAAGTGTTCCTGATGTCTCACCTCCAATGTTCCCAGTGTTCCTGACGTCTCACCTCCCAGTGTTCCTGATGTCTCACCTCCAGTGTTCCTGATGTCTCACCTCCCAGTGTTCCTGCTGTCTCACCTCCCAGTGTTCCTGATGTCTCACCTCCCAGTGTTCCCAGTGTTCCTGCTATGTCTCACCTCCCAGTGTTCCTGATGTCTCACCTCCCAGTGTTCCTGATGTCTCACCTCCCAGTGTTCCCAGTGTTCCTGATGTCTCAACTCCAGTGTTCCTGATGTCTCACCTCCAGTGTTCCTGACGTCTCACCTCCCAGTGTTCCCAGTGTTCCTGATGTTTCACCTCCAGTGTTCCTGATGTCTCACCTCCAAGTGTTCCTGACGTCTCACCTCCCAGTGTTCCAGTGTTCCTGATGTCTCACCTCCCAGTGTTCTGATGTCTCACTCCCAGTGTTCCTGATGTCTCACCAAGTGTTCCTGACGTCTCACCTCCCAGTGTTTCAGTGTTCCTGACGTCTCACTCCCAGTGTTCCCAGTGTTCCTGATGTCTCACCTCCCAGTGTTCCAGTGTTCCTGCTGTCTCACCTCCCAGTGTTCCAGTGTTCCTGATGTCTCACCTCCAGTGTTCCCAGTGTTCTGATGTTTCACCTCCCAGTGTTCCTGATGTCTCACCTCCCAGTGTTCCTGACGTCTCACCTCCCAGTGTTCCCAGTGTTCTGATGTCTCACCTCCAGTGTTCCCAGTGTTCCTGATGTTTCACCTCCCAGTGTTCCTGATGTCTCACTCCAGTGTTCCTGATGTCACCTCCCCGTGTAAAGAGTTGGACAGTCTGCAGACCTCAGCTGTCTCTTACAGTCTAACATGGTCTCACTTTTGTTTGGTATTTGGACTTAAAGAATGTAATCATGTCATGTTCAGGTTTACGGGGTATGATCTCAGATTTAACGTCAGGTTCAGGTAACACCAACAAAGACTACGAATCCCACTTTGCCTCCAAATAGAAACAAAACTCTTCATGTTTACATATTAAGGTGTGTACGTGTTAAGCATGTTTAAATGTTTAAGCATGTCTAATGTCTGACTCCAGCTACTGCTTGTGTGAAAACGGTTTCATCCTCTTTCTTTGGCGATCATGTTTTGCTCTCCTGATTCTTTATGTCCCTCTTTGAGCCGCTGCAGCTGTCACACTCTGAACTCTCTGGAGCCCA